TATATATATATATACTTAAATAAGGTGCGTACTTTCTAAAAGTTATAAGGGTACTATTTAACAAAATGCGATATGCGCGAACATTACGTAGATAAAAACCCGTACGATTCATGATTACTAAATAGTTCAATGACTTTTCCCTATAAAGTTATGCGCAGTGAAGGGTGAACAAATACCAGAAGATAATCATCTACGTAAGCATCGGTACAGTTATTCATTATAGCTATTTCTTTAAGGCAACTTCCTGTAAGCAGAGTTTACTTAATTATTCGAGATAAAATAATTAATCATTCTTCTCTTCCAGGTAAATACGGGAACGACAGCGATTTTGATCAAAGTACAGGATGTGGAGGACCAGCCGCCGGAATTCATAGCCATGACGCCTGTCGCAAGAATCAGCGAAAATGTCAAGATTGGCACATCCGTTTTGCAAGGTCAGCATTATTTCGCAATAAAACGAAGTTCAAAATTTTTTCTACAATTTGCGGAATCTATTTATATATTTATTATTTTAAATAATATAACTTAACATGATAACAGAATAAATGAATAAATAACAAAGTTCATTTATAATGGATGATGCTTAATTAAGAAATTAACTAAGATATTGTAATGGACAGTTTTCAGCTAATTAATTTAGAATTTAATTTTGACATACTTTGACGGCGTATGCAACAATATACATGTACACACGTACGAAACTTCTGCCTTCAAACAACAATTACAAATCAAATCTAAGCTATCTCGCTCTAATAATCGCATGTGATGCGCTCTTCACTTTATTATGGCAGAAGAATAATGCAAGAAAAGTACGCGAAAAGCTATGATCCGTTGTTCCTTTATTACTGTTCTTTAAAACTAGGATAATCATAAATCCTTAGGTGTTAGATAGCTAAAGCATTGAGAAGCTATGATCGTACATTGAGAAAAAAAGAGATGAAGTCAAATAATTACATTTTTTTAGAGCTTTTTTTATTACTTAATCTTATTCTTTTATTTATTAAAATTACGTTATTGTTTTTAGGATATAAAGTGTTTAAAAAATAATAAATAATGTTTTTTATATATAATATTTATATAAAAAAAAAGATATTAAATATTTTTCGTTTAAAACAAAAACAAATTTTTTTGCGTTTTATTGAATGTTAATCGTTTTCAAAAATTATTTATTTTATAAAATTTTTATTGTGATCTCGATATTTTTAGTGTGATTGTGGGATATTCTGTATATAAGATTTTGTGGCTCTAATGTGTGATATAATAATAAATCTTGTTGCAGTTCGTGCTATGGATGGTGATAAGGGGATAAACAATAAAGTGACTTACAGCATCACGAAGGGACCGAGATATTTGTTCGATATTGATGCGACTTCTGGCCTCGTGTTTACAAGAGCGCAATTGGATAGAGAGGCTGAGGAGAATAGCGATGGCACTTTTATTCTAGAAATTACGGTGAAGGAAGTATCGAAAATTATTCCACCACCATCTGTTAGTACCGAGGTGACCATTATTCTTACCGATGTAAATGACGAAACGCCGACATTTAGAAGTATGTTGTACCGTGCTGAAATAAATGAGAACGCGCCGGAAAATACGCCAGTTAATTTCATTGGCGGTGCTGTACCAGAAATATTTGATCATGACCTGGTAAGTTGGGAATAATGAGAAAAATTATTTTTTAAATAAAATTTTAACAAAAATCAATATTTAAAAGGTGTTACTTTTTTTTATAAAATAATTTTTTTTTAATTTTGAGAACAATTTTTACAAATATAGTAAATTTTTTTTCAGGGTTCCAATGGCACATTTCGAATATTCATTGAAGGCGATGGTGGGATGTTTGACGTAACACCGTTTCGCGGGATCAATGAGGCACCGTTTTTAATACGCGTTAAGGATTCGAGTAAACTCGATTTTGAAAAAATATCTGGTAAAGTTATACATTCTTCTTCGTTATAATTAGATGAACTATCATAAAATTAATATTAAAATGTACGTTATATATTTGTCTTGTATTGTGTCACTTACATATACAAAACTAATGTATTTTTCTTGCAGTGGTGAACTTCACTCTCGTTGCGAAAGAAATTACGCCAATTTCGCCGAAATATAGCGCGGTACCAGTTACGGTCTTTATAAAGGATCAAAATGATAATTATCCCGAATTTACGAAAGATATCTACGAGGTGTCGATACCAGAAAATTGTGTCGAGGGGACAACTGTGGCTTGGGTACAGGCTTTAGATGCAGACAGCGATAATCTTGGAACGCATGGAATACGATACACAACTTTAGGCGGTAGCATTGCACACGCGTAAGATAATAAATTAAGACTCACATATATATATATATATATATCATAATTTTATATATAGATTTCTATATTTATAAATCAATAAAAAAAATTATATTAAAAAGAAGAGGAGACTTTTATTCAATATAATTAAGGAAATTCTAATATCGATAAATTATTAATGAAATAATGAAGGCATGCTATAGATTAAAATCTAATTTCGTAGATTGACGATGGATCCTCTTACCGGTGTAATAACGGTTAAACATCCCGGATCCAGTTTTGATCGAGAATTAGTTGCTCGGCATTATCTCACCGTCGAGGCGCGAGATAATCTTGGAAAAGGGAATCGCAACGCTGCGCAATTGATAATTAATATTGATGATGTTAATGACAACGCTCCTATATTTCTGCAAAATAAATATGAAGCGGTGCTGTTGGAGAATGAAGATCACTTTGAATCTCCTCTGATTGTCGAAGCGTCCGATAACGATTTGAATGGTCAGGCAACGTTTAACAAATAAGTAAAATATATTTTTATCTATGATGTGTCATGTTTATGTATGTATACAGGGACGCGAAACAGTGAGATAGTCTACGCTCTAGTATCAAGCGAATTTTCCCGAAATTTTACTATCGATCCAAAACGCGGCATTATTATACCCACCCGTCCTCTGGATTACGAAGCTCTGCCCATCAATCAAGGACATAAAGAAATGATTATACGTCAATTAAGATTAACAGTCAGAGCCAGAGATATGGGCACACCAAGTTTGATTTCTGACGTTCCTCTAATGATTTACTTAAGAGACGTTAATGATAATGCACCAGTTTTCGAAAGAACTTTGTATAAGAGAAATATTCCTGAGGACTCGCCAGGTGGTACGAGTATTGTACAAGTACGTAATTATGATATAATATTATATACTTTACGTAAGACGTCGTAAAATTGTAATTTCAAGTTTTTTAATTGTATAAAAAAGTAAGGAATAAGAAAAAGATAAATAATTAGGTAATTGCTGTAATTGATAAACGATGAATGAAGAATTATTCGTATAGGTAAAAGCATGGGACAAAGATCTATCTTCGCCGAATAACAAGTTAGTTTACCGAATTCAGAGTGGAGCCGGAGACAAGTTCGTAATTAGTCCCGAGACAGGCGTGATCCGAGTGGCGCCGGGTTCTAACTTAGATCCGGATCTTACATCGCCGAAAACCACGAGATATAATTTGAATGTTATCGCCATCGACAGTGGTACGGAAATTCAACAGACAGCCGAGGTTCTCGTGAATATCACAATCCTAGACGTCAATAATAAACCGCCAGTTTTTATCGATCCTGGGACTGTCACTATCAGAGAAAACACTCAGGTATGTTATCAGACGCTCTCTACTGATTTCTCAATTCTATAATTAACAAATGAACTTTAGGTCGGTGCTTATGTTCATCGCATAGTGGCGCAGGATCCGGATGTAACTCCGATTCTGCGTTATCGTGTAGATCCCAATTCATCGGAAGCACGAAATGAGGAGGGTACTTTAATCAAAGTGCAAGAGTATGATTATCTAGCAGCGCTAGAGTTAAATGCATTAGATGGCTTGCTACGTATAGTGAAGCTGTTAGATAGGGAAAGAGTAGAAACTATCAGACTAGGACTTGTAGTCGAAGATTTGGCCGCAGTAAGAGGCTTGCAAACTGCATCCGGTTAGTTTTACTTTTGTACATGACAAGGTCTTACTTCAAACCTTTTTTGCAAAGTTTTTAAAATACTTTTGAAACTTTTGTGTCGCAAAGATATTTTATTAAAACACATAATATAAAAATTTTGCAGCCACATTGAGTATAATTATCGAGGATGAAAACGATAATAATCCTAAATTCCGGAGACCATTTTACAGACGTTCTGTTACGGAAAATAGTAAAAATGGAGTAAATATCGTGAATATTGTTGCCGATGATGCCGATAAAAATCGTAGCATTACATATTCTTTACAAGGTCCGAAAGAGATCACTGACCTCGTGCATTTAGATCATGAAACCGGAGAAATGGTCGTCGCTAACAAAATCGACAGGGAAATGTACTCGTGGCTAAATTTAACTGTCAAAGCCACAGATTCTGGAATTCCACCTCGGTAAGAATGATGCCATTTAATAATTTATTATATTATGTAAATAGATTTGCATTAATTTCTCTAGACAATTCCCTTTTCATCTCGTTATATTATATTTAATTTTAAAAACAACAAAAATTTATAACTAATTAATTTGTCAACATTAAATAAATAATAACGTTTTAGCATTATTTTTTTATTGATGTATGTTAAGGTGTTAAATTATATTCAATTTTGTAGATCGAGTTTATCAGAAGTATACGTTCAAGTCTTGGACGAAAACGATAATAATCCATATTTTGTTTCGAACATTAGTAATGTAACTGTTATGGAAAATTCAAAAATTGGCACAGAAATTGCTGTAATACAGGCGACAGATTCTGATAGTGGAGATTATGGAAAAATCACTTATCTCTTAGACAGAATATCATCTCAGGTAGGAAACATAACAACAAAATTTGCATTTTCATAATAATACACAAACATAGACATTTTTTATAATTCTATATTTACTTTGCAGCGTAGTTTAATAATATTTATTTTTTATTGTTCTTTCAAAACAATGTAAGATAATAATTATATAATTGTTATTTTATTAATTTATTAACAAAATTTTATTATTGTTATTTTAAACAGGGGACTTTCGCTATTCACTCAGAAACGGGATCACTGACAGTAGCTGATGTTCTTGATTGGGAGATCAGACACAGTTATGTTTTGGTCATAGAAGCGTGGGATAATTACCAATTTGGTTATACCGCGGGAGAGTCTCGAAACGCATTTAAGCAAATCCAGTATGTTCACGAAATTTCAAAATACAATTTCTCGGCTTATTAATAATAAATATAATTCTAATTTAATTCTAATTGAATTTTAAACTGTAAGTCATTTAATGTCATTGTAAAACAAAGCATATTGTTTTAGAGTTACAGTCATTGATGTGAATGACAATGCTCCGAAAATGGATATACCTCAAGACTGTATCTCAATATCTGAATTTCATGACATACGAGACTTAATTTATGTTATAAAAGTAAAGGACGCTGATGACCCGACTACGCCGAATGGACGTGTTGTAATTAGAATCACTTCCGGCAATGAATTAGGTGCGCAATTAACATTTAAAAATTACTAAATAATATATTATTATTTAATAAATATAATATTCGATAAATATAATATTCCTAAATATAATATTCGATATCAGCAGTACATAATATATTAAGTATATATTATGAAATTTATGAAATTTTGCTATAATTGATGTATTTTCTCAAATATTAAATATAATTAGTATTGAATAAAATTTTGGTCAACAGGTTTTTTTCTATTGGAACAAATCGACCATTGGACGGCAAAAATAAAAGCTGCGCAATCATTAAGAGGAAAATTCGGAAATTATACATTAAATGTCGAAGCACGCGATCTAGGAACACCATTTAATAAGGACAAAGGAATTTTAAAAATTTGTGTCACGGATTACAACGATAATCCTCCTTTATTCATCAGTCCTCAGCACAACACCACCATCCGTGTTCCAGAGGTTCGTGTTTCTGATTAATTTACATAACGCTGTATTTCTAATGTACACGCGAAACGACGTTATATTAATAATATAACGTAACAAAATGTTCTGAATATTTCAGAACACAACAATAGGAAGTCCGATTATTCAAATTGAAGCGAAAGATGCCGATACGGGATTAAATGGCGATGTGCATTATCGTTTAAAACAAGATCTCGCGGGCCACTGGAAGACTTTTCGTATTGATGAGAAAACCGGCGTAATATCCTTAAAATTATCGCTCGATAGAGAGACTCAAAAATTATATGAGGTATACAAACGTATATAATTGTGAAATTAATTTAAATTGTATTTTATTTCCTGTTAATTATTTTATAAATTTTTTTCAAATCAAATTAACATAGATACGTGTCGAAGCATACGATTTGGGTATCCCGACGCCTTTAAGTTCAGATCTCGATTTAATTATTTACGTGCGGAACATCAACGATTTCGAGCCGCAATTTTCAGTGAATGTTTTTAATGTTAATTTTACGGAGGAACAGCCGCCAGGGTCAGAGATGGTGTTACTCCCAGAAACATTTGATAATGATGACGTTGACGAGTTGGATGATCCTCCCACTCAAGTCTGTTATTTCATAGTTGGCGGAAACAACGATGGATTATTCGTTTTGGATATTTATAAACACGAACTTGGCGTAAGTCACTTATTAAATTTTTATCTCTTATTTTTCGTATTCTTCATCTCTTGATGATGGAGAAGAATTGATATTATTTATTATTTAGACTGCTAAATTACTGGACAGAGAACAGCAAGAAGAACACGTATTGCTTATTAAAGCAACGGAGGATTGCAAGACCATGCCGGAAAATCAAACAACATTCGACAAAACTGATGCTACTCTTTTACAAGTTATCGTAAAAATTGATGATATTAATGACAACGCACCGCAATTTATTAAAGATGTTTTTACGGGTGGTGTTACTACTGAAGCCGACTTTGGCACGCAATTTATGCATGTAAAGGTAAAGCTATATTATGCTCTAAAAGATAGTATTAATTAATATTTAATTTTAATTTAATATTATATTAATTACTATTTAATTTAACTTAATATTTTTTAAATGCATTTAAATGCATTTATGTGAATGTATGTTACAGGCAATTGATGCGGACTCTGGCAACAATGCCATACTCAGTTATTATCAAGTAGGCAAAATTCACATGACGCTTACTGAAGGCTTCGAAGATATGCAAATGCAACCTTTTCTAGTAAATAAAGACGATGGAGCAGTGAGCCTGAATTTTGATCCTCAACGAGGAATGAAGGGATACTTTGATTTCATGGTATACTTATTTTAATAATATAAATCAATTTGATAAAATTGATATACATTCTTGTATAAACAAATATAGAATGCAGCACTTTCAATTTTTTTCTGTTATAATTTTGTATCTTATTTTATTTAATATAAAACAATAAGCTAAGTAAAATGTTATTTGTATACAAATATTGTATATAAATACAGGTACTCGTTAACGATACATATGGCTTGCAAGATACTGCGAGAGTTTTTATTTATTTATTAAGGGAAGATCAAAGGGTTCGTTTTGTTCTTCGTCAACATCCGCCAGAAGTCAGAAGTCGAATTGAGACTTTCCGAGAGTAAGTATAACATATTTTGCACGCGTTATCGTAATATGTAATTAAAAAAGATAAATTTTCATTAAAATAGAGAAACGTTGGATGAAAAATTATTTAGAAAATAGATAATTTCAAGAAAATGAATAGTTTATTAATGACATTGTATTATTGTAATATATGTGTAGATCTTATGCAAAATATGACAGAGTAAAAATTTTTTATTATGTTCCAAAAATTTAAATTCTTCAAATTTTATAGAGAATTTAAAGGCATCTGTTCCCACTTCAAGTAAGATCTAAAAATATTTTAGCTAACATCTAAATTCTCTATTCACAGAATTCTAGGTAACGTCACTAGCGCTATAATTAACGTTGATGAATATAAAGTGCATGAAAATCAAGATGGTTCCGTAGATAGAACGAAAACGGATTTATATTTACATCTCGTAAATCGTCGGGACAATTCGATTCTCGAAGTATCCGAGGTTCTCGAGTTAGTCGACAGGAACATCGAGAAACTCGATAATCTATTCAAGGAGTTCAACGTCCTCGATACGCAGCCAGCAAAGCCCGAACCGATTATACAGTATGAACAAGCTGGAATGACTTTCTGGCTTCTCACGTTGACCCTATTTCTAGGAGCTCTACTGATTCTGTGTGTCGCTTTATGTTTGTCTCAAAGAGCTTCTTTTCGAAGACAATTGAAAGCGGCGAACGCATCACCATTCGGTAACTTGAAATGCAAATATTATAACTATGTATATTTATCAATTCTCTTCAACTCCTTTCTCTTTCTTTGGCTATTGCCCATTCGTTAGAAGTTAATGCTTTACTTTTAGAATTTCAATATAGTTAATAATGATGATTTTTTCCCATCAAAAGTTCTAGAATTTATGAAATTTAAAATTTATTAAAAAAAAACACACTTTCGGTAATTAAATATTTTTTGCATGGAAATAATTTTAATAATTTTTATCACAACATTATTTCCAATTATTATAATAAAATCAGTTTAACTTATTATCAATTCCAAAGGTGTATCAGACTCCGAATTTATCAGAAGTCCTGGTCGCGTCCCGAATACTAACAAACACAGCGTCGAAGGATCGAATCCTATATGGATGCACGCTTATGAAAACGAATGGTTCAAGAATGACGAGTCGTTCAGCCATACGTCCGAAAGAGATTCTCTCGATGAGAATGCGCTTAATAACGAAGAAATGATGAATGAAGCTAATACAAACCAAAGATCTGAAGATAAATCATATTACATAGAACCAAGAATTTCAACTATTTCTAGGTATGAAGCTACTTTTGTAATATGTTGCCACTTATTTCTGATTAAAACAAATGTAATTGGACATATTAATGACATGATTACAAAGATTGAATTTTTTCTATTTTTTTTTTATATACATATATTATGGAAAAAATTCTACTCATCAATATTGTATTTTAAATTTCAAATATTTTAAATTTACAATCATTGCGATATCATTACGTCTAATGTGTACAAAATGCATGCCATATAATCTACATATATATATATTTTTATTATTGCAGTGTGGAGAGTATCAATATTCAAAATAATTTTGACAGAAATTCACCGATTTATTCAGGACAAAATACAATCGTTAATCCCTTAGGAAAAAAAATCGAAACAACAGAATTATAGCAAATCGAAATTTTGAGATCACACGTGATTTATGTTATGTCACTGATTATTCTTTAGATATAGAATAAAACCAAGGATTACTTTGTAAATAATAACGTTGCATAAAAATAGAACGACGATTCATCATCAACTGTTGTAATTTTAAATATAAGGTTTCCGCTAATTATTTATTGTAACATATATTTAATTCATAATTCATATGCCTTTTATGAATGAATTGATATGTATGTGTTAACACAAGTAAGATATTTTATATCTTTATTATATGAAAGTTGAGTATTTTGAACGATTTAATTTATAATATTAGTCAACGTTGACTACTTGCACAACGATTTATCGTACAACAAATTTTTATACACCTTTGTATTTTTTATAGACAAATAAATTTTTTTTCAGTAAATTCTATTTTCTTGTTTCCTAAACAAAATTCTTTTCTGCTTAGAAAGAAAAAAGTGAAGCTATGTGCTAATAGTTAATCGCGTTAATTATTCTTGTGACATTTGAGTAGTCGAATAATACCTGATATATGATAATTAAAAAATCCAAACTGCGATCGAGATTATAAGTTTTATACGCACAAAATAGCAGGTCACTGGTTGAAAAGTTAGGCTGGCCGAGGAAACGGTTATTCTCTTATCGTCTTCCTGAACGTCAGGGTTGCGTGCAACCTCATGCTAATCTAAAGTAGCTATATAACTGGTCAGTGGTCGATCTCCTAGACACAAGTCTCTTTAAGGCTTTATAGCGTTCTTTGCCCTTTCCATATTACATTCGCTCTTATATGGCGTACATTCTACCGGACCGATGAAAAGTTTATCGTTCGACAATAATACTATTAAAATGCAAAAATGTTTTATAAAAACTAATACACTTGTTCACATAATTAATGTTTTTTTTCATTTATAATTGGTAAAACATAAATAAAAGTTGATAATAAATAATATTTTCAGTAATAAAATATAAGATATAAATAAGTTTTATAAACGTTCAAAGTATTCTAATTTAAAAATTTACAATTAATATGTTATCATGACATTTTCATATTAATTTTTTTTATTATTTAAATTAGTGAAAAGGTGCGCATTAAAATTCACGATTGTGACTCTTGAAGATTAGATTTCAGATGTTTATCAATATTCCTTTTCCAATAAACATGCAAACTCACAGTAAAAAAACCTTTCATATTTAGAGGGTCGCAATTAACTTCTATTGTGTGATTTATTGAAACACTGAGTAATCAAAGATTATTTTTTAAGTTATATTTAGCAAAATTTTGGCAAAAAAATAATATTATTCTATAATATTTCAAAAATAATTAAAGGGTTAAGTGTGAGCTATCTAATTTATCTTTAAAAAATTTAAAGAAATTAAAATTCAAAGAATAACCAGATATTAAACTTCATCATACTTCAAATAAAATCCACATATTATATGAAAATGTCATTAAAAATGTTATTGAAAATGTCTGCTTCAATTTAGAATTTTACGATATTTATGTATCAGTAATATGACATTTATCTCTTTAGATAATATATCTATATTACTTGATGATATTATTTTATGTAAACACAAAAAATAGAAAAAAGTAGTAATTATCATTCATGTATTATAATTATGTATATATCTTATTTGATTAATTTGGACAATTTCAACATTCAAGAGCCCGTTACCAGTTACTAATAGTTAAGTATACCTTTGATATTATGATGGAGGGGATGATTGTCGAACGTGACGTACACGTGACTCGTACAACCGCATGAACGTGGGGGTTGAACAGTATAACCCCTTTCACACACGCGGAGTACGCGGCCGCGTGAAGTGTGCTTCCACGCGATCCTCGAGAATGCTGTCTCTGGATCACGAATCTGGTTGTTCGCTGTTTATTTTACTGATTTCTTACAAGTATGATTTTTGGAACAAAATAATGAACGTATGATAACTCGAAATCTATGCGCGAAAATAATTATATGACATTGAAGCGAACGATGGAAAACACAATGCTAAAAATGTTAAAACGAAAGTTAACTTATTCTCGAAAATTATTTATGAAAAAAGTAAGAATTACGAATTTTTTCGTTTCGAAAATAAGTGTGTCACTGCCGAAGAAATTATTTGATCTGTGATCGATAAGTATTCGCGTAAACATGAACTATTCAACGATCTCGTGATTATCTGTGTTCTCAGGTAAGTTTATGCAGCTTTTCAAACAGTTTTTTATTGATATCAAATTATTTTTAAATTATCATGATAACAATATTATTTATAAATCATAATATTATAAATTTTCTCTTCCGTGAAATTGTTTTGCAAATAATGATGCAATTTTCATAGCGTAAATCTTATAATCATAGTGAACTTCAAAGCAATACAAAACATTTTTTATTTCTCTGTCGCAGAAAAAATTAATCAATAAAGAACACTTTTCAATTTTTAATATGAAACAAAGAATCATTTGTAAACTTCATATTTAAAAAATATATGAAAAATATTTAATGCAATAGTTACTGACAATTTTTTTTCTTTACCATTCTCCTTTAAATGTATAAATGTATCTGACAATATTATTTTAAAATTTTTCAAGTAATTTTTCTTCTAATAGAATTTCGCAGAAGATACAAGAGAAGTAGAAGGTTAATGACTTCTTTATTAATTTGTAATGAGATATCATTATATTGTATATGTATAAATGTCGATGCAATCGACAAGACATATCGACATCACATGCACTGAAACTTCGCGGCGTACATCGTATATATACATCAAGCATGCATTTATTTATTATATATTTATAAACTCGGTTTAAAGATTCACGTGGATTTTCAATCTCGTTCATGGATATCGATTCTAAGTATCTAGCAATACAAGTTGTGAAAAAGGAAAAGCCTATCGATCGATTCTAACGTGGACACTGACCGGTAAAAATACAGTAAGACGATATGCGCGACGGGTTAAAGCCCATTTCATCGTTACACAAACAAGACTCATTATAGATCTACGTAGGAAGTCGATGCTAAATATTCTATTAAATGTCTTACGTTCACCTAGAATATTTATGCAATGTCAAGGCATGAGTCATTGACGAAGGATTGTTTCCAGATAGAAATACTGAGTGCATATTGTATGAGAAAAAACAATTTAAATAGCGGTAATTACAGCTGTATAATAAATTCTATGCATATACACACTGTGATCGCATTTCTTTTAAATGTACAGAAATACTTCAATAATTAAAATGTAATATACATAGAAAACAAAATCAAAAGAAAAATATACGATTATCAAATTTTGGAAGATCTCAAATATAGATAAATATTTTTGTGAAATTAAAAACGTAAAAAGATAAAATAATCAATTAGCGATGATCAAACAATTTTATAAGTTTATCTATACATTAAATGTTCATTCAGTATTAACAATACACTAGATATGTTTTAGTTCCTTTTATTTTTCCAGTAATTTTTATTTTCTGTTCTGTTTTTCTTATCTCTCGAAACAAAAATATAATTAATGCATTAAAAAATTATATATAAAAAAACCTAGAAATATTTTTAGAAAACAATTATTTAAAAAATGCATTTTCAAATTTTGTTACATATTTTGAATACATCCTACACCAAAAAACATTATATTACTGTTATATATTTTGTAAGCCTGAAGATAGAGAAAAAATACAATATACCGCCGATAGGCGGTAAAATATGTCACCATAAAGTTTCTGTGCCACGGATGTACTGGACATAACAATATATTAGTTCTGTTGTGTACGACTGATGACCCACATTTCTACATTCACTTTAACAATCGCATGTTATATTACTGACATACAAAAAAATTTCTGATAAAAAAAATCTTATTGAGGATAACAATAAAATACTGTATAAAATATTTCAAAAATAATAGAAAATATAATG